CAGATGCTATTTGTTTGGGTTTTGTAAGCCTTTGATTTTTGGAAAGTCCACAGCATGAGCCAAGACAGGACGTTTGTATGGAAAAGCTACTGGAAGTGGCTTGGGTTTGCCCAAAAGCTGGGTGGGGCTGGATCTCAGGGAATCACCTGGGCAGGTGGGAGGAATAGGATTAGCTAGGTTGATAGAGACTCAGATATGGCAGCTGCCTATGTCTGCTCGACATTAGTGGGGAGGGCTCAACAAAGAAACAATGGCTTCTGCCAGCATTTCTGTCTGGGAGAAAGCTGCCTTTCCAGCCCTTGTCCATCAGTGAGTAAATCCGTGCACAGGTTCTTTAATAGGAACACCTGGGACTCTAGCCACCTTCCATCTCACATAGCCACAGTCTCCACTGGTTTTCATAGCCAGAAGTTATGAAGACATCTCTCCTCAGCCCTGGAACCCTGGGCTAGGGAGTTTGATGTGGGGCTGGGATAACTTGCTCCTCTGGGGGGCACCTCCATAGCCAAGATATGCTTCCTGATTTTTAATAGTCACATGTGGGTGCAAGACCAGCCCGTTCCGCATCTCCATCCCTCCTACCAGTGTCGAGGTGGCTTCTTCTGTACATCCTTAGTTGTTGGACTTTGGTTCAGCTAGACTTCAGGCAATTCTTAATGATTGTTGTCCTGTAGTTTAGTTGTAATTTTGATGTGGTCTTGAGATGATGCAAGCACAGCATTTACCTACTTTACCATCTTGACTGGAAATACCAGCTCTTGGTTTCTAATTGCATTCTAAATAAAAAGAACCATAGCTTCTTAGAGAAAAAGCTGATTCTAGAATTGAAGCAGGAATTATACCTATACAAGATTAGCCTGAAATATCTCATAATGCCAGAAAGTAATGAAGTTCTCAAAAAAAAAACAAACCGTAAACTAAAACCCACAATTATGGGGATATGGCAAACAGACAGAGGAGTTAAGTGAAAGAGCTCCTAATGGCCCAAGCTGGAACAATTTTAGAAACAAACTAAAGTAGCTTTGGACTATAATTCAAAGTATACAATGAATATCCATGAGTCCACACTGATATAAGTTAATAGGAGAGATGAGACAAATCTTCCATGCAGAAGAATTCTAAATAATTACGTATATACATACCTAGCCTTAAGAAGGTGATGGAACATAACTCCCACTCCTTAAGTGAGGACTGCACATAATGACCTCCATCTAAAGAGTACAGCATGGAAAGGAAAAGGGGAGAAACTTGACAGTGGAGAGACCTAAAGAACACTATCTCAACCAGGTGCCAGATCAACATCAGCAGTTATCAACCATGTTGATATTATGTACACTTGATACGATGTGATAAAAATGGCAGTTTATTTTTGTGATGTCTTCCCTCAATAGACCGTATTCACAGTCTAATCATGAGAAAAACTCCAGACAAATTCCAATTGAGGGACATTCCATGAAATACCAGACTAGCATCTCTCGAAAGTGTCAAGATCATCAAAAACAAGAAAATTCTTAGAATGTCATAGCCAAAACATGGCTAAGAAGACATGATAACAAAATGTAATGTGGTCTCCTGTATGGAATCTTGCAGCAGAAAAAAAGTAAGAAAATCTGAATAAAGAATGGACTTTAGTTACTAATAATATATCAGCATTGGTTTATTAATTGTGGCAAATGGAGGTTAGTAAGAGGTTAGTAATAAAGACTACTAGATGTGGGAACTCTCTGTATTATCTTCACAATTTTTCTATAAATCTAAAGCTGTCTTAAAATAAAAAGCTTATTTAAGACAAAGTCACAAAAATGGGACAGCAGAAAACATGCCTATTCTGACTTTGGCACTGGGTAAAGGAAAATTTTTTCTCTGGAAATGTGTATCATAAGCTAAACCTAACACTTATTTTTCATTCATTCATATTACCCATGGTGTCTTAAAAAATAAATATCCTGTGAAGAATTTAATGTAAAGTGTTTGGGGTTTGGTCATGTCCTGAGGCAACTCTCAAAAGCAAATGTAAATTTTTTCTGGAAGATTCCAACCTCAATCCTAGCCTCAAACATGTCAGAAATAAAGTTACACCAAAAATATATCTCATAGCCAAAAAAATTCATAAAATACACAAGACAACATGATATGAGTAAGAAGTAGTGGCAATAAATCCCAAACACTTCAGAGACTGGAATTACAAGACACAAAATAGAAAATGACTATGATTAATATGTTAAAAAAATAAAAGCTTAAAAAGTTTGTCAGAGAAATGGAAATTATAAAAAGTGATAAAGATGATTTGCAAAATGGCCACATTAATTCTTTTTTATTTCAAATTTGACAAATACTTCTTGAATACCCACTATATGCCAGGGCATGTACTAGATATTTTCATATATATCATCTATTTTTATGTTCATAACAATAAATAATTCTATTAATAGGTACAAAAGTTGTAAAACCTTCATGTTAAAATATTTGCATTATTTTGTCTTTCCCTACACTCTGGAAACTTTCTTTTGATCTGCTTTCCAGTTCACAAATTCTCTCTGCATCTGTATCAAGTCTACCCTTACACATATCTGTTTTGTTCTTAATTTGGGCTATTAGCAATTTTTTCAGTTTTAAAATTTCTATTTGGTTCTTTTTCAAATATACTAGGTCATTTTTTATGTTTAGTGCTTCCTGCAGATTTTTTTTTCAATCTTGTCCATTATTTCTTTAAGAAATCATACTATCCATGTTTTTTATAACCTTTGTCTGATTCCAATATCTGAAGCTTCTATGGTTCTGTTTTGGTGGTCTGGTGTTTCTACTGGTTTTCCTCATTCCTCAGCCATATATGCCTCATATACTTTCTTTTGACCATTTCTGATTATATCTTATTCTGACTTTGCTGTGACCTCCAATTCTCTTTAAGGACTGAGCTCTCATTCATACCCTGGTCACATTCTTCCCTCCTTTAAACTCAGAGATTTTTTGGCCTCTTCATTAATTTCACATGAAAAGATCTAATAACATGTACATATGTTTCAGGGTAAATTTTTCTTTGCAGTTACTTCTTACCTGGGGGAGAGGGGGTGGATATAGGCAGGCCTTTGCATTTTAAGCCTTAAGTCTCATCCTGAAATGAAAGCCTTCATTCCTATTCAATTGAATGGGGGCGGGGGGGGGAGGTCTATTCTATACTTAAATTTTCTTAAAATACATCACAGTATATGTTCCTTCACATACTTATGCTTTGCACCCATTCTTTCTTTTGAAAATGTGGCTTTAAATACATAGACAGTTACCTATGCAAGATTCTGACTGCTGAAGAAATCTACTCAACCTTTTAGCTTGAAGAGCACTGGACTTGGAGTAAGGTGATCTAGGTTCTTAGCTGCTCTTAAGCTACATGTGTCATCTTGGACAAATCCTTTATTCTCCCTAAATCTTAGGTTCCTAATTTGCTAAAAGGAGCTACAGTAACACCTGTTACAGTTGTGTCGCATGATACTTCCGAGCATCTAAGGAAATAATGAACATGAAAGTACTTACCAATGGAAAAAGCAACACAGTGTGAGTGATATTGGACATCCTGAAACTTCATTAAATTTCATTCCTAGTTCCATTTTCTCTTCCTCAGGTCAGAATAAATACATTGACCCATTCAGTTTAGACAAGAATAAAGAATAAGACTAAGGTTTCCAGAATAATGAAAAGTTTCAAGTTACGATAAAATGATTACTCTCTTTATTCAATCATAATATGACAGCGATGAAACACTTATTAAAACAAATAACCTGAGTTGTTTTTACACAATTCATTTAAGAAACTCAATTTGTCATGAAACAGCAAATGGTTTTTTGAACCTGAATGGAAGGATTGGAGTCAGTTTCAAATTGATAGCCATAGTAAAGTAGTAAATTAATGTTAATGCTATGAAAGTAGAGTGCAAATAAAAGATTTTAAGAATTAGAAATCAATCGACTGTATGTATTGGGAAGGAATTACCAAAATAGGTGCAAGAATATCTTCCAAACACAAAATTCATGTGCTTAAAAATATCACTCAAGGTATCAGTAGAGAAAAAAATGTATACACAGAAATACATGTATATATTTTTTCCTCTCATTGCTTTCAAATCATGATTGTGTGACAGAATTTCTGTCATCAATTCTTGTTGGAATTTGGTGAAAAAAGGAAAGAATTTGGAATCAATCACTCTGTGTTCTGTCTCACTTAGGAGCTATTTCCTTCTCCCTAAAAGGGAGACAAGAACAACTCACAGAGTTGTTCAAAGGACCCAATGCACTGGAGGGAGAATACAGGTACAGTTCTGCTGTTAACCGCGGCCAGAGTAGCTGTGCGCTGAGCGATGCTGTTAAAAGAAATGCAGCGCTTCTCCACTGGAAGACATCTTGGTGAATTGAAAAGAGAGCTCTTTTTACCCCAACTCTATTTCTTTTTCGTATCATTTCAAATGTGGGTAAGAGGGCGGCGGGTCAAGGGGATTTAAGGAACTTGGATGTAGATTCCACCTTCACTCCCCGCTGCTTAAACTTTGTTCTTTCATTATTTCCTTCGTACATTCATTCAACAAATACTTCTTGGACCCCTATTGGGTGCCGGACACCGGACTTGGTCATGGGAGCCACAGAGAGGAAAGGACCCGGAATGTGGTCTCAGGGAACCCTTAGTCTATGGAGCAGACAACCAGGCTTAAAAGTGCGGGACCGCAAGGTTGCGCTCGCGTGGGTGGTTCCCGTGGCGGGGGAGCCCCCGCACCGCCTCCCCTGCGGCAGCCTCCCGCGGGTCAGCCAATCTCCCCCCGCCCCCCTCTCCTCCCCCGCGGCTGTGAGTTTGGTCCGCGTCCCCATGGCAACCAGTGCCAAAGCCGCGGCCTAGCTGCTGGCCCGGAGGGTGAGGCCGTAACGGCTTGGGCGGCGGCCACGCGGCTAGCGGGCCCGGGCGGCGGGAGACGGGTGGCGGGAGGCGAGGCCCCTGGGGGCGGGCAGAGCTGGCGATGACCACGGAGTTTCTGCTCCCGGAGCCGCAGACCTCTCGGGAGAGCGCGGCGCAGGGTGGCGCAGGTAACCCTCGCGGGCGTGCCCGGCTTCGCCCCGGAACCCTCGTCCTGGCACCCTGGCCGGGCTTGCTCAAGAGGAGCTGGGGACCACAACAGGCCGGCTGCTCCACGGAGGCTGGCCTTGAACCCTGCGCGGATCTGGACAAGGAGGTCGGGGCCTGGGCCGGGGTGCGCGGCAGGTGGAGAGCCCGGGATCTCGGGATGGTCCTTGCAGGATCCAGAGCAGAGATTCTACCTGAATGAGAAAGTCTAGGTTCTAGTTGTGTGGCCTTGGGCAAGTCACCTAGCTAGTCTGTGCCTCAGTTTCCCGATGTTAAAGTGAGGGATTTCAGAACCTACAAAATGAATTTATTCATCAGTCCGTCGCTCCCCATCCCTGCTCCTCGCCCCTCCTCTGCACACACGATTCCAGGGTCTCTCTTAAATCCTTTGATTTGAGAGTGATATGAGCACAGGCGTCTTCCTCTTCTTTCTACCATCTTGACTACTACTTAATTGACTTTTATTCAGTAATTCAGAGGACTTGAAGTCCTATTCAATACTTTGTTCACTTACTCTCATAGATTATTTTCAATTAAAGTTTTGTTACTGGGAAAAACTTTTTTTTTTTTAATTTTAGGCAAGCACTAACACTCCCATTTTGTCCAAACGGTGAGCAGGTGCCCACAGAGCGATTGAAGAATTGTGAAATTTTTATTTTTAGAGAACTCTTAGCCTATTTTTCCTAAATCTCAAGATATTAATTTTAACAAAACCCAGAAAGGGCCAAAAAAAAAAAAAGAAATTACTCAAATAAAGGCAAACTTTTGGAGGATCCACAAAAAAAGAAAGTTTGAGGGCATTTAGCTGGAACTCCTCTTGAACAGGAATTTTGTTTCACTTATATCATGTACTGAGCACTTTGCAAAGTACCTGATACCAAGCTGTTGCTCAGTATACAGGAATGAATGCTCGTTTGAGTCAGTACCACATATTTCAACTCATCATCAAGCCAATGTCATAAATGCATGGGAACACACAGAGACATGTGCAAGTTTCAATATTTTATAGAATCAAGAGTTACTTCACTCAGAAAAACATACTAAATGGGTTGCCAGTAGAAAAATGTTCTTGTTTTATAGGTTAATAAGTGTAAGCATTTTAGGAATATAGACCATTTTTCTCCCTAACAGATTAAAAATCAAGATATTTAAACCAGATGCAGAAGTTTCTTGACATGGAGAACCAAGCCCATAATACAATGGGGTAAGTGCTGAGAAAGTTCTATTTAACAAGTTGGAACTTAACTACGCCATAAATTCCCTGATGATACACGAATTTTGAAACGTAGTATTAATAGAAGAATGTGCCATTTATTTTTGATGAAGAGGGGAGGGGTGAATTCAAGTGACTGTAATTAAGAATCTATAGTTTGAGTCTTTCCAATTTTGACTATGGAGCTGCACACAAAAATCAACATTTTCCAACTCTTAGTGAGTTTTTTTAATGTTTTCGGGTGACGGGTGCCTACACTGGCCCCACGTGCGCTTCGGTTTCCACACTGAAGCAGCTCCTGGCCAGCTTGCTCCTTTCTTGTTGCAGCGGGTGTCCAAGCGTCCCTCCACACTTGCCCTGAAAGCTGAACTCGACACTTAGTCATAGCCTCAAAACAGATTTAGCTCCTCAAAACAGCAACAAGAACTGGATATTTTACCAAAACTTTCATAAAGAGATAAGGAATAGAATTTGTATAGCATTTGTTGTTGTAGAGAATTAAATTCCTTCTCACAAATATCTATCCCCACCCCTTCCCCGCCAGCAGCACCACCAAGATTTCTCTTCCTGTTGTTTTATTAGTCAACTGGCCACTGGCTGACCCCAGAGCTGGGCAGGGGAAGTGGGGCAGTGGTTAGGAGTGGCACTATAGTGCCTAATCTTGACTGTGACTGACTTGGCAAGAGTCAAACTGCTGCAGGTGTCTCACTTTCAGTTTTTCTGCTCAGATCATGACTTTAACATCAGGCTAAAGGAAAGCTGCCCAAGTCTGGATAATAATAGCTCTCACTGTCTTAAGTCCTCCTGCCCTGCTAGGTATTATTGTCATTTCATAATTAAGAAAATTGAGTGCATTAGTTATAGTCTAAGTTCTTGTAACAAAGACACCCCAAAATACAGTGGTTTAAATAAGATTGAAGTTCATTTCTGTTTCATGTACAAGCCCAGAGAGAAGCAGACTGGGACTGGGTAGGGCAGCTCTGCCATCCTCACTGCATGATTTCCACCTCTGGGCCCAAAGTGACTGCTTCAGCTCCCACCATCATGACTGTGCTCCTGCCAGAGGGAAGGGGGACGTGCAAGAGGAGAACTTTTAAGACCGTTCCTTTTAGGAGTATGACCTTGAAGTGGCAGGCCTCACTTCTGTTCACTTCCCTTTGGCCAAAACTTAGCCCCAGAGCTACAGTTAGCTGCATGGAAGGTGGGGAAATGTGGTTTCTAACTGGGCAGGCATATGGCCAGCTAAAGCTTAGGAGTTCTACAATATAATAAAAGGAAGAAATAATGGATATTTGTGGACAGCTAGCAGCCTCTGCCACACTGAGCTCAGAAAGGTAGAAAAAAGAGAAATAAAGCAGGAACTTGCCCCAGAATATACAATTGGTTAATGGAGGAGGTAAGTTTTGAATTCAGATATGTCTGGCACCAATCTCTGCATTCTTTGCTACATTGGAAATGGATGACAGTGAGATGCATGGAGCAGCCTGTCTAGTATCCATAGCAGAGCAAGGTTAGGATTCTGGATTGAGCAGGTGCTCGTTCCGTGGTGTGACAATGGCACAGAGGGCTAAGATGCAGATTGAAGGTCTCCAACCTAAGGGTGGGTACCAGATATCTCTTCACTCCTGCAAATCTGAGGCTTTGGAGACTGCTGTTTCTCTTCATTCACTCTTTTGGGGAAAAGTATGGCATACTGAATGTATGCCAGGCACAACACTAAGCTCTGTGGTTCACACAAAGATCATTAAGAAACAGACCTTAAAGAACTTAGAATTTAGTAGGCAGCCACAGGGTTTGTTTGGGTGCAATGTAATTACAAACCAGAAGTGGATGAGAATTACTGGAGATTTACGTGAGGAACTATTCCACTCGTCACAGGGGACATGGTACCAGAGGTTGTCTACCATGGTCTCCCACGCATGGAGGGCCAGGCTGGCTTTACTCTGTCCCCCATGCTATTGAAAAATACATAAAAATCTAGGTTGTGAAGACAATCAAACCCCATTCATCGGGAACTTGTTACCTACTTATCAAACCATGCGGCCTACTTACACGGTAATGTTTTGTAGAGCAACTTTCATTTAATAAACATTTATCTAGAGTCTACTATGAGCCAGTCATCTGTCAAAGCACCAGGAAGATAGCAACGAACAAAATAGAGACCACTGCTCCAAGGCGTTTGCATATTAGTGGGAGAGACAGTGGGAGATATAAACATGTTTCGTACAGTGATTTAAAGAAAAATAAAGCAGGCTACGGAGGAGAGGAATAGAGTGTGAATGGAGTGGTCAAACAAGGATTCCCTGGTGAGGTGCCATTTGAGTAGAGATTATTTCTCAATGAAGAACTCTTCACCCAGCCAGCAGGAACAGAAAGAGGCCATTTATAAAGTGGGTGAATCATTATTTTCTGACATATGGGTTATAACAGGGTTCTATTTTAATTTATCCCTGATTTCTCCCAATTATAGGTGTTTGTATTTGTGCCATAATAATCAACCTAAACTCCTTCTAATTGAAACAGTCTTACTTAAGTGAGTCTGTCCTTTTTATTTGGTTTTAGAGCGTGTGCCCAGAACATAATTAAAGATGAATAAATGATCTATTTTTATTGGCTTTTTAAAAGAGAACCAGGTCTAGATATTGCTTTGTTTT